AGTGACAACACCGCCGAAAGAGCAGGATAAGAAATGCATATACTTCAGTTATACTTTTAGGGTTCTCCATCGAAGAGATTTGCCATTGCGGAAATGTTAGCTGAAATCCATTCACTGTACTTATTTTTCATTTTTTTGCTAGACCTTTGATGCTATGTGCAGATTTGAATTCTTCAGTTTAATTTTTAAAATTGTTCTGAATAAATGGCACCATTAGAAAGAATTCCTTTTAATAAGTGGTTTTTCAAGAAAGATTAAAACATCAAGAGAATAATCCCTTTTCGATCGATTTTTTTGCAATTGATTTGTTTCTGGATAAAGTATGTCTATTAAAAAGTATCTAAATGGTACCTCAAGACACCATTACCAGGAGTAATAATTTGGCCCAGTGAGTGTGAATAACCTCGTGAACAGTTTGTAAATATAAGAGAGCAAGACTAAGTAGCTAAAAATAGGTGAAAATAAATAAAAAACAAATGTTGGCACACAACAACTGTATTTATTATCTCCTGCGTTGGCTCACTTTTTTTACAGAGCGTTTTGAAAAAAATCGTTGCAAATCGTCATGAATTTCTCGGAAATTGAAAATGTTCCTTTAATTGTTTCCTCAGTATGAGCTTTTTTTTGATTATGTCTTGTTCCGTATACAGCCAACGCTAAAATCTGATGGAGAGCTTGTACTTTTCATTTAAAAAACAAGTTGAATAATTATAAATGCAAAGGGTTTGACAATAACTGCGCCTAATGAGGAAGTGTGCCACGGATACCCAGGATAGCCTTGTTTGCTTTCAGTGTGCATTTATAGTAGGAATGGAGAGGAGCTCAGATTTTTTTTTGTAGCCAGGATCTGGGGACAGAGTAGAGGAGGGGAACAAGGACCAAATACAGGAGCTTTTGTGAAAGCATTCCAGCAATTTCACTAAACACGAAAAATAATCGCACCGATTGTCCGGGCTGTTTTGTTGTTCTTTATTAATGCAGATACGATGGATTAAAATGAAAATACGTTGTGCACTTTTTAAAAAAATGTTGAGGCTTTTTTTAAAGTTTTTTTGCTAGCTGCCACCGGTACCTCGTTTTTCACTCTCAGGTGCGCATCTTGTCTTGCACAATGAACTTTGTCTGCCAATATGTGAAAATACGAATTTTGCATACATATCAATTCATTAGCCAAATTGCTGGCTCATCAGTGGCGAGGGAGTGTTCTTTGCATCACTGGGCTATCTCCACTTGAAAACCCATTTACTGTTACGTTCTTATCTGAATTTTAGGGCAGCGGGCGGCAAAATTGCCCATGTTTGACGTTGCGACGGGAAGCGTCTAGCTTCTCGCATTTTGGTTACTGACGGCGCCTGCACGTCCACCTGACATCGTGAACCCATTGCCAAGCTTACGTGATGATTCGTTTGACTGGTTTTTATTTGGCCACTTTTTCGTGGGTAAGATGATGAGGGGAGATGGGGTAGGTAAAGATGGATTCGGATAGGCTGGGGAAGGTGAAGTTGGGAAGGGGCCGGATCGGGAGGGCAAAGGGAAGTTAACGTGGGTAGACTTAGGTGCGGATGAGCTAAAGGATGTTGAGGTAAGTAGGAACAGGTGTGGGAGACTGAGGTAGATAGGAGTGGGTGCGGTTAGGTTGGTTGGGGAAATGTGAAATGGGCAGGGATGAGATTGGGTGAGGTAGGAAGTGAAGTGGGAGAGGATGGGCCCGGGTAGGGCAGGAAAGAGGGTGGAGCGGACTGGGTGGTTTCGGGTGTTCTGGTGGATGAGGTGCAAATCCAAGGCGTGGAGGGAACGAGCAGTAAGCATTGTAGTACTACAAGAAAAAAATATATGTGATGGTTAGAATAAAAATTGCTCATTATCTCGTGAAGTCTAGGTGACTGAGGTTTAAGACGATTTTTAGAAAAGACGCGTCTTCGTTCTTGTTAGCACTGTGAATCATATTTGCTACTACTACCTCATATTATCGATGCAGTCCGCTTCATCCTCTGTCTCGGTTGCGCTAATGTTATTTGCTGTCAGAGTCAAAATGCTTTCATGAAGTGCAAGGATTAGTGAAGCATAGCTTTTGTTTTTATTTGCTCACTTTTTGCATATAAATCCC